GCTTGATAGGGCAGAAAATAGGTCGCCATTGGGAATCACGCTGCGATACTAGATGTTTTACTAAACGGAGTGGACGTGTCGTCTGAATATGAGAATTTTCTTTCAACACAACTCCTTTCACCCCCCCCCTCCGATATGCGTCCATCGGCTGAATGGTGGACAGCTCCGAACAACTATCAAAAACAGAAAATTGAAAAAATATAAACAAATGGTGGAAATGCCGCGGCGTCAATTGAATGTGTAATCCCCACTAATCCATGTAGGACCCCTTTACAGCGACCAAATGCACCTGAGAGTTGTGGACTACATAAACACTAAACCATGATATGCCCCTCTCGGAACAAGGATGCAGCGAGCAGTTCAGTCGTCGCCACCCTCCTCCCCCTCAACTACTTCGATACTAAAGTTTTCAAAAAAAAGTAAAAGATAACTAACCTTCTCGTGATCTTCACACACATTTTCTCGGTGATACTGGAAGAATCTTTCCTCAACTCGATCCAGAGTTTCGTTGAATATGCGTTTTCTCTCTTCATAGTCATCAGCCAGGCTCTGACTAACGACGTCTGCTTGCTAAAAATGTCTACAAAAGTGTTTGGAAATAGAACTCTCGACGGCTGTAGCATTCTCCTCACTCATTGTGGAGCCGCGAAAGTGAGAAACAGTTTTTTTGTGAGGGCTAGACTACTTGCACGATGAAGGATGGACCACGAATTCCTTGAGCGCGCGACTGTCTTCAAGAGCCGGGAGCTTTCTGGCATTTTGCTTCTACCAAACAGCTCTCTCATCAGCTTGCCAGACTTGTTCGATGCAAGTTTTCAACGTTTCAGTGCTATGGCAGACCTCCAAATGCTCAGTACGCGGGAAAGATTTTCTATTAAACAAGCGCCTCTAATGCCTTCTAGATTCTTTTCAACAGCATCTCCGCTACACAAAAAGCCCAAACTCGAAAAACTCTCATACATACAAAATTACTGAAGTGATAATTACCAAATGCAGCCTAACCCCAGCGGTGGGCTACAACGGTGAGCTTCTCTTTAACATTGGGCTTGTCGAAGCGCTTCCCAGATGGTGCAGAAACCTAAGAGGGAAGGATCAGAAGCTCGAGTAACGCCAGAAAGAGACCTATTCTAAAGCTCTGAGTCATGTTTAGGCCTTTGACAACGGCGAAACTTTGGAACGTTGGCCGTATAAAGTTCCTCACAACAACCTTGAGAAAGAAACACATTAACAGAACAGAAAAGTTACAGTTCGACCAGTGAGACTAGCCTAAAAACATACTCCGCGGTAGAAAGTAAGGTGCAAATATGGCCCTGTAGTGATGTACTGACTGACTTATCGAGGAGGAAAAGATGCTCAAAAGACGTCTGAAAACGCTCGAAAAAGGTCCAAGTGAATTCGGCGTTGTAGACTAGGCGGTGAACAGAGACAACCAGGTCTCAACGACTGAGCGCCGCACAACCGCGCATACGGCAAGCTCGAAAACTGCAGTTCCAAATGTCACGCAGTGGTCGCTCAAATAAAGGCATGTATCCAGGTGGGGGTAGAGTTTCCAGCTATCACAAGCCAATAGCGTTCTTTCAGGTCGCTCAGAAAATTCACCTGTCTGGCAGAGGAGGACATGATATACTGCCAAAGGGCCTGCTTATCATGGGTTCGGTCCCGGAGTCGAATCACGAACTAACTCCGCTCCGGCTAACCAAGCACCTGCCCTCCCGAGACAGTAAATTGATTCCAGATTCGTCTGAAAGGACACACGCTAGCTAGTGGATCGGCTGGCCCTCGTAGGTCATTGTATAGGCGGCACCAAATCCAGTGGCCACTAAGATTCTGAATGGAACTGAAATGCGGGCCGCCAAAAAGAGATTGATCAACGCGAAAGGAAATTGCACCTTTACCCTTTGAAGACAGGGTATCGGGGCGCCAAATGTCTCAGGTTCTTGTAACTTCGAAACCGCGCGTTATGCCCTTGAGCACAATAGACTATGGATGAAGGAAACTCGTCAATCGATCTCTTTCTTGGGTACAGCACACATTCTGCTTCCATTAAAAAATCGTAGTGGCTTATTGATTGCGTTAAGGCCCATACAATGACTTGCGGAGACCACAGGGTGTATGTTTCTTGCCCCTGCTCATGTCCTTTCAGATAAATCTGACAAGACATCCAATTTTCCGTCCTCGGAGGTTAAAGGGCTTGGTTTTCTTGGCCGGAAGTAGACCAGGAATTCGAAGCTAAGACCGCGCGCGCGGTAAGCGTGCCTTTTGCCACTACACAAACTCCGTCTCAGAACTTGAACACTTTTGGCATGCTTAAATACTACTCCGTTTCAAAGGAAGTGTAGAGAAGGACTAATGCCTATTGATTGCCTTACCCCCAATCAGCTATCAATGTGGTGCCAGTGTGGCTAAATCAACAACTACAAGACCATGTGGCGCAACGAAAAATAGAAGTAATCACGTGAAGCGTCTGCTCGGATAGAGCCCGAGTTACCCACTTACCATGCGAACATTCTACCACTGAGCAACAGTACTCAAAAGGAAAATAAATGAAAATGTTAACTTAAGAAAAGTACCTGTCTTTTTTGTAACTCGGAGAGATAGGTCATCTCTTGTTTCAAGCGCTCCTTCTCCGCTCGCTCACGGGCCAGCTCTTCCCTAAATCTTCTCGACTAGTTACAGAAATGGTGACGCAATTCCAATGACGTGGGATATGTTGGTGCAGAGCCTTTAGGAATACAAAAACACGACAAATATTCAATATACCGTCAAGGAAATTAAACACCCCGTCTCAAATAAGATATTTTCTCGCAATAAATTTCCCAGAAGTGGTTCACTCAGCATCAGTTTCCTTCCCAAGAATGGGTGAAATTGGGACTTAGGCTCACTAAGGTTTCTCGGCACCTTCCGGCGCTAAATCAGCCAGTTCTCCAGAACAAAATGAAAATAGAAGTACCGTAAAACATTGTAGCTTCAAAAGAGTCAATGCGCTCAACTGAGGTTCCCGGGACCGAACTACTGCAACAAAATATCCCACCTCACTGGAAAAGCGCCGAAATGTTGTACAATTTGTAAGAATGGTTCTGATGAGGAATAAGAGCCTTTGGGAGATTTTGCGGATGTCCAACAAGCAAACAAGCGAATACCTTAACCGTTCGGCTTCAGAACTACTACCACCACCAGTCTGAGCGTTCACTCTTTTAACCACATCTGATGACACTCCCACAGTTCTAGAATAACCAGAATTATGTGCACTCTATAAGATACATCAAATCAAACAGGAAAATAGATCCACTCACTTGTACTCTTCAGGAATTTCACTTCTATCAATTCGGACTACATCTGGCTGTTCTTCCTGACTTTGTGCAGATCCCATACCTGAACCGAAAGCTTGATGCTTATACTGAAAATCATTGAATTGCCAATAGCAAGAACGAAACTAAACCAACGTCGTTAGAACAAACAACAAACAAAAACCTTGCAGTGGCCCGATGTACGGAATATTGCGTCTTGCTCCTTAAACTGACGTGATATTGCGGCCTTGGTGAGCAACGCGCTGCCTTGGGATGGGACTGAATCCCTGTTTTCTCGGTGGCGTTCTGTTTTTCCTAATTGCACTGCTTTCCAAATAGCGCTAACGAGTTAGGGGAGGATGGGCGCGCTCTTGCATCTCTTTCCCTGCAAAGGCTCAACGGCCTGAAGAGCCGCAACAAAACGCGAGTCGCCCGAGGTATAGTCAAGCACAGACGATATAACATAAGTATCACTAAACCTTAACCATAATCGCTTGGAAGAATACAAAGGCCGCTGGGAATGCCCTCCAAACTACGGTTTTTAGCACCTTCCAAGTTAAGGTTTGTCTCTCTGTTAGCGTGTATATTCACGGAGTCGATTATTTCGCTGCAATGCACAGTTCCGACAAAGTGGGCGTTTTGATGAAGAACACTCTAGGCATTTAAAAGCGGGTTTTTCGCTCAAAGGAAGGTGCTAACAGAAGCTCGTTCATACTTCACGATTTGGTTGTTCCGATCGCTCGAGCCATCTGGCCATGCGAACGATCCGGTCGCTCTGATCCAGCAAAGCTCGCGAATCCGTGGATGAGCTTCCTGCACGGTCAGCCGCTAACCTGGATCCGCCGGAAATCAGCGCGCTCGAATCGCCAAGTAGAACACTCTGAGCGAAGGCCATGTGGCAAGCGGCCTAAAGAACCACGTGTAAATTACATATGGAGGGCGCAGACGGCAAGGTTGCATACAGAGTAACAGACAATTGAAAGCACCACGGCTGTCTAAAGCCACAGGAAAGGGCGAGGTGGACTTGTCGTGAGCATTCTCAAGGGAAGAGGACTCCCATGCCTACAGCTGGCCTGAAAAGTCGCAGACTTGTCACAGTTGTCACAGGGGTATAGTGAGCTCATAATGACCTGTCTCGGACAAAAGAAAGGTCCTGTCAGCAAGGGCGAGAGTCGATCGAGGATTTTGATTTAGTCGGCGCACCACATGCCACCATTTCACCTCAATCGCCAGGTCCTTTCAATTGAACGTAACAGGAAAGTGACTTTCGAAAAAGTGTTCGGTAAAATCGTGCAACGAGTTCAGCATTTGTGAAAAATCGGGAGGATGAGATGAAAGGGCCAAACTCTGTCGCTGCGACGACGATCGGTGAAGAAGCATAAGGGCGCTGGGTGCTGAAGCGGTTGAAAACCAACCGCAAAATGGGGAATTCAAAAAATTGGACCAGTGGGTAGAAGAGCATGCTTTTTTCCTCGAATTCGTGCACAGCATAGAAGAAACTGGGTTGAGGGAATCCGAAGGTGTGCCACTGAACCCAGGGGTCCGGTTCAGGCTAAATCATCGCGTTGTAGAATACCAGTCGGCTCGCCGGCTGACGCTGGCGCGCCTCCTCCGTGGCCCAGCTTCGCCGCGCTTGAGGAAGAGTGACCCTCCTTCTACACTGGATACTCAACAATTATCCGGCTTTTATTTCACCTGTACACATAGTCAACGCTCCTTGAGCAATAACATCATACCTACTATTTTCGACACTATTACCGTCTACGAATGGTGGTAAGCAGCGTTGATCAAATGCGCAGATGAGAGAGAAACCGTGTGTTAGTTAAGTTGAGCATTCAAACAAACGCAAGCAGGTGGCCGCGACGAAGTAAGCAAAACCGGCAAAGCCTGGCTCCTATTAGAAAAGGAGTCGCGCCGGCGTCAGCCAGCGAACGACTGGTATCAAATGTACGTGTGACAACAGGTGTTCAAAAGCGTGGCGGTCTAAGTACTAAAACGCAGTGAACGTAGGGACCCCGTGCTTGAGAACACGCTCCACCCACTGTGGGCGTGTCTCAACACACCACATCCACAGACACGCGAACCCTCGCCATGATGTTTCTCTCATCAAAAGTTTTTCCTGATATCCAAAAGCTCACATCAGATGCAGAACGCACGAAATTTTGCAAGCCAGAGCCTGTCCACTCTGAAAGCAGCCCGCCTATTCTTGAGATGTCTCCTTCACTTCCTCCGTTGACACCTTGTGGACCTCAGTCCACCTGTCCCCGGTGCCCTGCTGCTCAGCAACTAAATTCGTGAATTTTTTGACCTTCGCACTGCCTCGAACAATATCGACAGAATGGGCGCGTAAATCTCGCTTCAATAGCGGAGCTCCTGCACATTTTTGCTCGTCTTTGCCGGTGCCTGGAGTCTGTTATGGAACCATTCTATATTTCTGCGTTTGGCTCCGCCGCCTAGTCCGCACGCTCCGCCTACAACGGCTATGTGCCGCATCAAACAGTGATCCCTCCTGAACACCCACTTCCGGGTTTTACAGACCTCTTGTCTGTCTCCGCCCACCTCAGGCCTGGCACCGCCCTCAACATGTTTGCCCCACATTTCTCAATCGGTGGCCCTTTGCTGACCTTAATCCACTTTTTTCCGGTCCCTGGAGTGCTCTGGAACCAAGCTACAAATTTTTTGAATGTGCACCCTATGAATGAGAGCAAGCTCCGCCCACTGTGGGCGGGTCTCAACACACCTCAGGCATGCCGAACTCTCCCCAGATGTTGCTTGGAATCGAGTGAATAAATTTCTCGAGAAGCACCCGCCTATCTGAAGTCGATATTTTTCGGGTATTCTCCGCCAAATTGATTCGAACAAACCCTTGCTAACCTTATTTTACTTTTCCACTCCTCCGAGCACTCTGAAGCGAAGTGATGAGTTTCTTCTGCGTTGCGCCATCTTTCATGCGCATGCCCACCCCTAGTGTGGTCGCACACGGGTGCTGTTTTGATCTTGCCGCCATGCATTACCCCAGCCCACCTTGACCCGCCTCCATACAAGTTTTGGCGGATTTGGTAGATTCAGGCAATTCTAAAATGAACGACTCAGGTGCCGAAATTTCTGGAGTCCAAACGGCGTTAGCAGTGCGGTAACGATGATGACTATGACCGCAGTTCAGCTCGGTGAGGGCACGAAAGGACACTCAGCTAAAGTTGTGACGCGCCTTTTAATTACTGTAAACACAGCGGTCCACATGTATGTACCATTCTGCTGTTTCACAGGAGTTCACAGGTTTACCTGTAAGTTAACGTGATTGCCCGCTCGTCCCCCTCCCTTGTAACATAAGCCGAAGGAGTCCTGTCTATGTATCACGATAGATCAACAGATGATCTAAAAATCCTCAAAAAATAATTTTTTTATTCATTCAAGGAAAAGTGTAAACACCAAACTCACCGATCATACATGAGCATTTTGAGAAACGAATAAATCAAATACACTAATCAATATAAAGAACACTTAGAATCAATATGATTTTACAAGATCACTACTTTCATTCTATTTGAACAAATCGGGCAGTTGTGGTAATTGGCATTTTTCAGCCGAAATCACATCGCTGATGTCAACAACTCGGCCTTGATAACGAACCTGCAAGGACATTCAAATAATTGTAAAGTAGCAAAAAAGTGAAAAAAAAGTTATAGTGGTAATGCGCCCTGAAGTGCGCTCAGTTGAGAAGTGTAGCGTTAATTTTTTAGTGGCAATGTAGGACTCTGCGGTAGCGTTCAGACTCCGCGATGACGCGCTTCCACTGCAATAGCGCTCTATTGCTACTGATGGGAATGCAGCTATATGAGGATAACAATTGAATCGATACCAATTGAGGGTACCTGTTGCCTATACTGAAATCTGGTACCCTCCTATTCTTTAAACTCTCCCAGGACCCTAGTGGACCGCTGTTGCAGCGAGCGATAGCGCTGGACGCGTCTGATGCTACCTTGCAATACCGTTGAAACTTCTTCAGACACCGCCAAGCACTATCTACTCAAAGACGAAATCCTGATCGTGTGGGCGGAGACAGTCGCTAATTCGTCCTTCTCATTCATGCGTCCTGCTTCTGTTTACAATGAAGGGGCAGGGCGTGTCAATGAGGAAGGAATGCCTGACTCCGCTTATGCGACTCGCACAGACTGTGCCTTTGCAAATAACTGTTACTTTTTTCTAATCAATAGTCGGTAAATTGAAAAGGGATGGAGTCGTAGTCACGCAAATAAAAAAGTGACTCCGCCCACAGATCAGCGTGGAATGTGTCCGAGTAGGTCGTGTTTGAATAATCTGTCTTGATCACTGTGATTCAATCCAGCTGAGACGAGATACGGTACTGTTTCCCTCTCTCCTCTCCTTTCCCCACCTCATGTTTGATAATCTGCTTTCACCTTTGCTCTAAAGCATCTACATTTGTGCTTTGATTTGACCGTAGGAACTAACCGCCCGACGCACAATGAGTCTTTCAAGAATTAAATTCAAATTCTATAAGGAAATATAGAAAAAAGTTACAGTACCTCTAGGAACACACTGTCTGGACTGTTTTCGCACTCAAGTCTTGATCCGATAGGTTCTCCTTGAACGATTCGTTTTCGGCCAAATCCGATATCTTCCCTTGTTTTGACGTTATAAAGGCGTACCTCGAATCCTTAAATGATAAAGAAGACCGTTTAATCAATTGTAGTTCTGTTTATAAATTAATTACAATGTGCTTTATTTTCATTATATCTGATATTATTTATTGCGTAAAGTCTCATGCCTGAATAAATTGTACAGCAAAAAATTTATGCTGACTAACATTCATATCTGAGAGGCAAGGAAGGGCGTTCATGCGCGAACGTGTGCGTTGCAGATATTGACATGACGAACACGTCAGCATCAACATGTCACTTCCCACCGACGGTTAGAAAAAAAATTAAGAGTTTTCTACATGGCGCTGTATGTATCACTTGCAAATAATTTTCAAGTCCTGTCTCCAAAGTGTAGAAAAAAATAACCAAGTTATCGATTGGTGCCCGACTTTTGAGACAGCCAAGTCCAGTAATAACTCGCTTAACAGTATTGGCGACTTCTGTAATCTTGAGCAAAAACTAGCGAGAGTTGCAGTAAGAGAATTTCAGTCGTTACCACTGTAGTCGGCCGGGGCGTGTCAGCCCAGCGTGGCACGCGGGCAT